AAAATAAAGAACTGAAGGTAATTACATTAGAACCACATTCATTGGTCAAATTTGATAAACATTGTTTTTCTTTTTTTAACCACAAACACTCTAGGATGGTTGGTGTGAAACAAATGCAATATTTTTGGAAAACGCCCTTTGTTTACTGTTAAATGGTGGGGGATCTGTAATGTTCTGGGTCTGTTTGCTTTCTAAAGGTCCAAGGAACCATGTGCTAGAAGAGCTGAACAACAGTTATTTGCAGCAGAGTATGTTAAAAAAAAAAAAAAAAAAAAAGCCTGGGTAGATTAACACAGATGAAATTAATCAGGCACAAAATCAAACGAACGTTCCGCGACCTGCATAATTCAACAGTTTCTCCAAAGAGGAAATAGCACTAAGCAAAAAATGAAAAACATTTAAAACATTTTCCATATGAGAACTGGCTTCTGCAATAAAGGATTATTTAATCAGAAGGATTTTTATACACTCATTCCAGGAGAACCTGGAGTGTGAAGCCTGTATCTTCCATATAGTGTTCAAATGAAGCTTCCTGTTTCTAGTTCTTGAAAAATAACTTTGTTAATGTTATTTTGGAATTTTTTTTCTGTGCCTCAAGATTAATTTTGATAATATCTTACAACTGCACATTGCTGCAGTTTACTTCTTAGTCAAGTTTTATTTAATGTGTAATTGTCTTGTTTTGGTGAAATAAGGTTGTCTGTTTACATTTGTTCAATAAAGAAGGTACTCTTTGGGTCTTCCTTTTACCAGCTCCTAAACCATTATTTATTTATTTATTTATTTATTTTGAGTTTTTACAGCACTAGTGGCTCTTATTTTTTGACAGTAGCTTGACAGGAAAGGGGATATGAGAGAGAGGGAGAGACATACATTTCTTTACAGTATGTAATCTGGGATAAGCACTTCATAAATCTTAACTCATTCAAACATCCATCAACTCATCTAATTACCTCTAATAGACTCTCACTCTTTTGCTAATGAGGATCACACAGAGCTATTCTCTATGGTTTATTAGTCAAAGTGGTCTTTGTGTGCTCCACCACATTATTATTATTATTATTATCATGTGTATTTTTTATATGTGAATGTGTTTTGTGAGATTTTATGTGAAGAAAACAACATGGTGCATGAATGTACTGGCGACCTGTCTAGGGTGTACCCCGCCTCTCGCCCGTAGACAGCTGGAGATAGGCAGCAGCACCCCTCGCAACCCTGTTTGGGATAAGAGTGACAGAAAATGGATTGATGGATGGTGCATGAATGTTACATAATTTTCAACCTTTTATACAAAGATCAGAAGTATTGCATTCATATTTAGGTTTATGAACCCCATTACCCCTAAAGGAAGACAGAAATCCATTTGAGATTACATCTATATGTAATTCAATGAGAACAGGAATATTAGGCAGAAAAGCAGCCAGGATGCTCATGGTACAGCAACTCTTGAGGAGGCACATGCTGAGGTGGGTAAATCTGTCTACAATATAAATAGCAGTTGAGCCCCTCCAAACATGCAGAAGTATTTTGCCTAATGCTGGAAAATACACACAGCAAAACTGTTTCATTTAAATTCCTTTAGGGATTAATAAAGAATTTTAAATTAAATTGAATGGAATGTGGAGGACAGTTCTCTTCCTACGTAGGGAAATTATTTGCAGCATTGTGCTGCAAAAATACTGGACAATCAAAAAAGAGAACCTGCTAGAGTATATCCCAATAATTGCTGCTTTATAAGTAAACAAATGTAAAAACAATATCTTTACATTGATCTGCTTGTTATGGTGCAGCAAATAAATTACCAATAAAAAGAATTAAAAGTATGTGGTTGTAAATTCTGAGAAATGTGAAAATAAAATAATGGGTTTAAATACTATTGCAAGGCACTTTTTTGGTTAAGCAAAGTTTAGACATGACCGTAACATTAACTTTCTCAAACCCGTTTCAAACTCAGCTGTAAAATAGGCCACCTCTTTACATCCAGCAGAGTGCCCTAAGAAGCACACAAAAACAGATTTTGAGTGCTTATTTAATATAGGTATACTATAGGTATACATCATTAAAATTCATGCTAATGTATAATTAGCATTTCTCTTTTACTATTTCACTACTTAAATATAAGCTGACCTTTTAAATGAAAGATGTGATTCTTACAAAAAACATCCCACTCTAACAAAAAACACCAGTCTTATATGAAACTTTTCCCAGTTCTGTCTTAGAACAAGCTACTTTTCTAAGAATATCAGCCACTGTTTTATTTTACATGTTAAAGCAAACAAAAGATTTCTTTTTACTGTGACCTTTGAGTCAGGAAGACTTCCCTTAGAGCATGCAGAATACAAAATGAGCACGGAGGTTAAAAACAATTAAGTCCTGCCCTAATCATTTTCTTAACACCTGTGTACAGTCATCTGGTAAAAAAGAAGCATTCTCATATTTGTAGTCCTAAAGGCTGTAACTGTAAAGACTACATTTGGAGGCCTACTCAGAATGACACAAAAGCTGTACCTGAACGTCCACCGTAACCCCTAAATCCTTCAATCACTATATAGAGAGGGGACTATATAGTGGACTTAATAGTGAGCTCAGTTAACTGACAGTTATGACAGATGATTACTACTTTTTGCTCCCCGTTGGTCACGTAAGTCTTCCTCCAACATGCAATGCTTGCACTATCTTTCTTATTAGTTGTCAGGCAGCGACAGCCTTTGTAATGACAGCGGGCCGCTGTGATAGCAAATCCCATACTGCTTTTCGAGGAGAGCTCTCCACCCAAATAATTCCTGGATATATTTGCTCGTCTAGTGACCATGGACGATCACTACTTTTCAAGGTGCATTTTGGGAAATTTCGAGTCCAGTACTTTTTTATCCATTTAAAATGGCGTTATCACTATATAGTGCTCTATATAGTGCTCAGGGGTGACATTCAGACACAGCCGATGTGATTTATAAAAGAAGCATTTTCCAAAAGCAATAGGTACATGGGAATTAGGAGAACAATACTGAATAAGAGAGCAAACTTCTAATCTGATGATCGTACACAGTTTAGTGCAGGACTGATTAGTTTTCAACTTGTCTGCTCATTTTTTATTCTGTATGCTCTGATGAAGGTCTTTCTGACCCAAACCTCCAAATAAAGTGAAATTTTGCACAGATCAAGTATGTGGAAATCTTTCGTTTGTTTCTGGATTGTTTTATGGCTTCCAGCACCTTAACAAAGACGTTTCCATTTTGTGTAGCAGACCCCATTGAAAACGCACAGCTCTCCTCGGAAATTTCAATTTCAGCAAAATAAATCTAATTTTCATTTTTCTGCATCAAGCAATTTAATGGATAAGTAAGACAATTTTAAATGCAAGTCGGAGATAATTGGAAAATCTGAGCAACAGGAGCAGACCCAATTTCCATACTTGATCACTTTCCTAATTTTACTGTTCTTAGAAGGTTTTTATTATTGATTTAATATTGAGTCAGCTGTATGTCACTTACTTTCTGGTGTTTATAAGACATTTTTTAATATCTGTATGTACAAAAGAACAGTGATTTTATTTTATTTTTTGTTATAACAATGGCTGTATTGGCCCTATATGAACATTGTAGAATACAAGTGTTCACACTTTGGAGATTACGCACTCTGAATTCCCAGCTATAAATGTAACACGGCATGAATCTTATTGAGTTATGCAAGAAAAGTGCTTTGATTTTTTTTGTTGTTGTTGTTTTGTATATCATTTTTTTAATAGAAACTTTTAAACTTTTAAATAACATTAATTTAAGACAGTAGTAATAAAATGTGAATAACATTAAACTACTGTAGAAATAAAGTAAAATTGAGTTTGACAGCCATAATTAATGCTTATCCAGTTATTTATTTATTTATTTTGCATATGCCCAAGCTGAAGTCTCATTATATTGACACTGTAGCAGTTTAAAATAAAACTCAAAAACTTATTAAACTGTTTTCTTAATATTGTCTTGTAAGCCAGCAGAATTCAACTGTACAAAGGAATGACTGAATGAGCATACCCCCAGAATAAACCAATCCAAGTTTAATTTACAGTTATCTCTAAACCATTTATGCTAAATGCAATTTATATGATAAATAATGCAAACTGACTGACTTCAGTGAAGTCATATTTGGCTCAATATCTCTAAAACACATTTTATACATGTACAAGTGCAAAGTGCTGTGGCAGATTATGGTCTTATTTGTAAGTTGGCCCACCAAAGTGATTTATGCTGAGGACCCCTCTTAGCCTGGGACTGGATCTGTACATTGTGATTGGGTTAAAGGTTCATCTCGTCATGCTCAACTTTATAAAATTACTTGTTAATGCATTTCCAGTTGAGATATAGCACATCAGAAAATATCACTCCATCCATGAAATGCTGGAACAGGGACGAGATCACATCTAAATTCCTGTTTAGTCCAAGTCCCCCTTGGTGCTTATGCACATTTTTCTATTTAACTTATTACTTCGCCTTACTTTGCAATAATGTTCCTGAAGATAGGACTCCTAGAACAAACCACTTATTTAGTACAAAACGTTGTAACTTACCCTTCTTTGTTTAGGGCATCAGTGATTATGGGGATAACTATTGATTTCATAATAATATGGTGGTATTCATTTTGGATTAGCATTACCTGACAGCCAGAACCATAAAAATGAGAAGACATGAACTTGAACCATGCCACTGTCATTGCATTAATGAAATAAATAAAGCTTTTCCCTCTGTAGAATTTGATTGATAACGTCATTCGGATCAAGGATGCAATGATTTGAACTAAACTCCAGTTCATTTTTATAACCTTTTTTTATGAAACACCAATGCTTTTAATGATATTCTAATCTATTAAGATCTACTTGTCTCTTGCTCTGTCCAGAATTGAGAATTGTGGATTATTGGCCAGTTTCCGTCCCGTAGGTTATTTCTGAGCATCTTGATCCATCACATATTGTCCCTCCTGTCCTTTCCCACTGTAGCAGTGAGCTCATTTTGCCCACGAAGTTAAACAGCCACATTGGCCAGCCTGGGATCTGAGTCCTGCTCATAGCGGTAGTGGTAAACCTCCATCTGGTCCCTGCATGCCTCTCTAATGTTATTGAGCCACCGTTTGATGCCTCCCCGATTGAGATACAGGACCATTAGGAACACCACTCCAATCAGAGCCAGGACTATGCCAAGGAAAACGTAGGAGACTGCCTCCAGGTTCTCGTTCATACAATCCACGTCCTCTCCTCGGAGCTTTGCCACCGGGATCCCCCTCCGCGCTTCCGGTTCACTGCAAATCACCCGCTCAGCATCCTGACACTGCGATGAGTTTTTTAACCAGTAGTAAAACACCTCTAGTTCACAGTTGCAGCGAAACGGATTTAAAGCCAAATAGACGCGTATGCGCCTTTGTTGATAAAAGCTGGATATGTTTTCTCTTCCGAGATTCTCTATTGAGTTATTTATGAGCACTAAAGCGTGCAGGTTATAGATATCTAACCTTTTTATGGGTATAAACTTCAGCTTATTCCCTGCTAGCTCCAGTCTGTGGAGATTACGCAAACTTTGCGCACTGAGCGCACCGGAAAGCTGCCCTGTGGCACCGGGGGAAAAGGAGTAATTGAGGAAAAGAGAGCGCAGCTCCGACAGTCCATGGAAAGCCCTTGATGAAATGATCTCCAGCTGATTGTGGCTCAGATCTAGAAGATGTAAGCGATGAAGTCCCAGGAAAGCGTAAGGCTCAATTATCTGGATCCCGTTGTAGGAAAGGGAGAGCGTCACCATTTCCAACTCTGTGCCATTGACAGTGAACGCGCCTTGAGGTAAAGTTGAGATGTTTCTACCTTTAAGTATCAAAGTGGACGTCCATCTCGGTATGTCTGCAGGGAGATCGGTTTGCCCTCCGCCGGGTAAGCAGGTCACAGTCCCCGAATCCCTGGCACAGCTGCAGGAGGACGGACAGGCGTCATCTGTCCTGACAGGAGAAGACAGCAAACACAGCAGCGCTACGTAATGCAAACCCCATCGATTCCGATCAGGGGAAACACCACTTAAATGTCCAGCACTGGGAGTTATCCTCATCTTTTCATTCGCTGGTTGTCTTAAATCTTCTGATTACGTAAAGTTGAATCAGTCTGCGTTTAAAGCGAGTCGCTTATCTTTAACAGTCACGATATGAAGAACTCTCCACCCATCTTGGCCGATCTCAGAGCGTCTGAACGCAGAAAGGATGAGCTGCCTCGGATATAAGCGCATCTGTGCGCCGGACATCAGCTCGGCGTGGCTGAGTGGTAAAGCTGCTGATCTGTGCTTGCTCGGTGGGATTTTCCTTTCCTTTTCTTTTTGACGCCTGTCACACACAGAGAGAGAGATCCACTCACGCCCACACCACATGGGACAACACAAGCAAGGGCACCTCTAGAAAGTTTGGCCAAAGGGGGGGCATTGATGCTGGGTTTGAACAACAGGAGTATGGTTAAGATGTTATTATATATTCAAGCTAGATAAAATGAGTCCTATTTAAGACACTTGATAGGATAACTAAACTGTTGAAGCTTTTCATTCTTTCAAAAATTAATAAATTATTTATACACCAATTGGACGCACTATTATAATCATACATACAGAAGGCCTTAACTGAGCTATTCTGGAGAAATTTAGTCGATTTTCGACTCATTTATTTATAAGTAGAGCTTCCGCTTACTATTAACATGGTTTCCCTTAAGTTATAAACATCTGAGCTCCATTAATGCTGAAATGGTTGGAATAGTAGAGAATATAGTACTTTGCAAAAGTATTTACCCCTTAAACTGCAACTGCAAAATTAAAATCACCACCAAGTAGTGCATAGTTGTTAAGCTGAAGGATTGCTCATGGAGGAAAATCATTCAGATCACTAATTAGTTTTCCATTAGTTTTTTTTTAAAGAAAAAAGTGAAAAAAAAAGCTGAATGTTGAAGAAAAACTGTAAATCATGTCACAGTATCTATGACAAACTGTCCATATCAATGGGTTTTTTTCTCCATTTTTTTATTTTCATCCAATGTTTACTATTGATCACTGCTGCACTTTAAGAAATGGAAATGTCATGAGAGCTGTACAAAACGAAATTTCTCTTTGTATATACTCTGTATATACAAAATAACAATAAAGCTACAATAAATAAATCTAAGTCTAAGAAGTCACAGTTTCCACAAATAAATAAGGACTTTATGGAAGACTGGAAAGAAGAAGAATCATTGATAAAAAGAAAAAAAATAGAATAAAAAAAAAACACAGGATCTGCCAGTTTGACTTTGAATTAAACCAAATGAGCGTCATAATAAATGTGTCAAAGCAAATGCTCTGGTCAGAAGAGACTAAAGTAAACTGTTTCGGAAGACATTCAAAACTATGTGTGATGATGTAAACTTATGCTGTGTATTCCAGGAAAACTCATGGTGCCCATTTTCTTTTGCCCTGAAACTACATGATACAATTTACATTAAGCAATCAGCAATTTATCTCTCACATAGAGTATAGTGCTTCACCCTACTTCCGAGGTTCATTGCCAGCTGATCATTAATTGTGGGGCTATAATAACAAATGTCTATGTTTCTGTAGTTTCACTCATCATAGCTTTTTAAGAATCTCTTTTTTTAATCTAATATATGGGTTATTTGATTCACTTTAGATTAGCTGAAATTAAATCTAGGCAGTGGAGCCTACTGCATAATTAGGTCTTGATTGACTTGCTTTCAAGCTTTTCTGGGTAAAAGCATTGCCCATCTGGAGAGGTAATCAAACTCTGGATAACAACCAACTGCTTTCAGATCATGTGAGAGGAAAATGCATGAGGACTCCCTTAAACCTTTTCTAATTATATCTCAAATTAAGCAGGACAAACAACAATGGTTGTAGATTTAAATATATAATTACCACAAAATAGTGCTTGCAGATGAGAGGAGGTCACTTTTAGGCCTCTATAAATGTATTTCACAGCATATGCTTCAGCTACTAAAAGTAAGAAGAATAGAAAACTATTTCAGAAGCATGGACAGGTCCAAACAACACACACATGCAAAAAGATAGACAGATAAAGAAAGAGACGGAAAGAAAGGCTGGGCAGTATGCACTTATAATTTTAGCATGATATTGGGTTATATTATAAATATTATAAATGTGGAAATAAAAAAAACCCTATTAGTTCTTTGCAGTCTTTCTTAGGTAGCTATAAAGCAGTGACCACTTACCACATCAATCATAGCTGCACTATCTCAAATTTATACTCTTTAAGCATATATGCATTTAAATGTGTCTTCCTCAGAACACCAGTTACATACGGAAGTACAGTTTATATCACTATGCATTGTGTAGTAACCTAATTTAATAATTTTCTTCAAACCTGTCAATGCCCCAATGGAAAAAAAAAGAAAGACAAATAAGAGAAATAATAGAAGTAAATATTCTTTAAATTTTCAATGACCATGGACGGTAATTAAACTTTTGGATGACAAATCAAAATATGATAAATACCCCTCCCTTATAGGTAGATACATTAAAGCACAATTTTACTTTATAAACAAACACAACAGCAACAAATAATATAGCTAAAGTTAGGAAAAGTTGAACTTGACCCATAGTTCAGGACCATGGAGAGCTCCAGATGGGAGCGCCCCAGATGGCAGAGTTTGGCATGTGGCTCAGAGCTGAAACTGTATGTGGCCTCTGACTCAGAAACTGTAAGTCCAACACCCTATATCACCATGATTAATGGAAAACTCTGCATCAAATGACAGGCCCCAATTCTTCTTACTTTTGTGTCATCGTCTTAGATTTTTTCCCCAGCTTGTCAGTAGCACAGGGGACTCCTTACATGACCCATGCACATGGGCATTAGTCCTTAAGCCTGCCGTCTTTGAACTTTTGACCTTTGCCAACCTTGGTTAATTTTTAGTCAGCCCGCATTTGTGTTTAATTTATATTCAGCATGCATGTAGCTACTTTATGAAAGCCTCAGAGGTTTGAGAATGAACACCATCATGAAGATCAAGTTTATGAAAGAATATATCAGACTTTTGAACATTTAACACATATCCATCAATTATGCAAAAAAAAAAACAAAAAAACAATCTATATCCAAGCTGCAAACCTACCAAAAATTATTGTTAATTTAAACGTTTGTCCAAGTCAGGAATACTAGTTGATTTTAAATGGACATATATGGTGTTAGGTCAACAAGGCAAGTACTGGAGTTACTGAAAAATTATGAAAGTGGATGAGACCAAAAATGAACAACATTTAGATTGCTGTGAAACAAACAAACAAACAAAGGAAACTAACAATAACTTTCCTTTTTAGCTTAAATGGACCATCTCCACTGTGATACAATGTGATGGCAGCATCATACTGAGGGGACAACAAAGAGACAGCAAAGCTTTTCAGAATTCATGGGCAGATTTATCTGGCAAAAAACCCTACTAGAGACAATAAAAGACTTAACGTTGGAGTGTAGGTTTCCCTCCAAGTAGCATAAAATGCCTCTCTGATGAAATTCAACTAAAACTGCAGTGCAATGATCATAAGACATTTTTCTTATTCATGTACTGCTGATAAAAAAAAAAATCATTCCCTCCCTGATAGAAAACAATACACAGTTGATTGAAACAGAATGTTCATAGTATATTAATGGCTTGTATTTCAAGAAATCGCAACTCATAATTTTTTCAATCACGGTTCTTGTCATGTAAAAAGCGCTAAGTCAGAAACAAATAAACATGAATAGTCAAAGCAGAAGTGTAAATATACACAGGCTGGGACATAAAACACAAGACTTGGCCAAAGAAAGAAAACAACTTTGCAAATAATGGAAAGTCACTGCTGGTTTCCCTGATAAGTCTAAACAGCTTTTTTAGAGTCAATATTTGTTTCCCTGGACCAGCAAGGACACAAGCTCAGTCATGCTCCTCTCCTCACAGGACCCCTGTGCCTACTTGATGGACGGTGGCTCTATCTTCCTGCACAGAGAGCTGATTTAGAGACGCCTGCTTTACACCGGCTGCTGCTGATATTGTCACAGTGCCCTCTGTGGGGCTTTCAGTTTGACAATGAATCTCAAAATTGATTTACCCCGGGCTACTCATGCCCATCTCCTGACTACAGTGATAACTTAGGTGTATGTGTGTGTTTCTTTACGCTTTTATGTGAGTGAGCTGGTAACCAATAACATCCTAAGCTTCCTTCCTGTCTCAGTTTTTGAGTTCCTCTTATGCTAAATGAGGCATATGATAAAGTATATGAAATTATTTACATGCATGCAAATTAGAGTGATGCACACCCTGTTTTTTTATCCTCGCTCCATGAGGGAATGACTCACGATAAATGAATCTAATCTAATGAGTTAGGGACACAAACACAGAGCTAACCGAACAACATCAATACAGTACATCAAGGACATTGCCTAAAAAAAAAAGCAATATAATACTGTGAAATAATGAAAAATAAACTGCACTCAATTTGTCTTTGCTTCGCTTCTAAGCCTGACTTTCTTGCAGCCAGTCAAAAAGGTCTTGGTAAACCATTCTGCCATGGTGCTTATTATTTATTTACTGTCTAGTTCCCATTTCTACAGAAATTACCAGTTTTATAAAGGTACTGTGCAATAAATGTATAATAGTAGAAGCAATGTGAACCTGAGAGAGACTTCGTTTTGTAGTCGTCTACCAACTGAATTCAACAAATGGATCTTTAGGGATACTTTATTGAGGATAGAGCACTTATAAAAAGTGTTGAAAAAGGACATTTGCATCCTACTGTAAATGTGCAGACAGTGGATCTGCAGCAAATGTGTTGTGATATGGATGAAGATCTCCCAGGAATTTTTCCAACTCTTTAGTGAATTTGTTTCAGGATAATTAAAACAGTTCTGCTCTCAAAAAAGGGTCAACTTCTTCTGGTTCTGTTACCCAGCAGAGATTTGCCTATTCATCACCGTATTACATATAAAGGAAAGGAAAGCTTGTGTGCTGTTGTACTAAATAATTACTGGCTGGAAGGACCTACTCTCACATTGATGTCTACCCTATGATGAGTGGCACACAAGGTTCTGTGGTTTGACTTAATGAGTCACCTCATGGTCATAAAAAATACTGTGTATCTCCTTGTCTTGCAGTGTGGATGTTTGACGGAGCACATGATAAATAAGCAGCATTGGTATGCACTCTTTGGACTCTGCAGTAACTGTGAGCTGTGAAGTTTACTCACACTAAGATCCATCAAACTTTACTTTAAACTCTTGAGAAGGGAGCGTTGGGTGTATATGGAGGTGGAGATT